CAAGTAGTCAGAGATGTCCGAAAAAAGACCAGGCAGTTTGAGTCCAAGGGTAGGAGGGATAAGAAAGGTTTTGAACTGCTAGGCAAGAAACCAGTGCTGTGAGTCAGAACTCTTAGCAGATAGGTGCCAGTCTCAAGGCAGACTGTAGCAAGAACAGCCAACACCACAGCGTAAGGAAGATACCCTCATGATACAAATCTAGAGGGACCACCCTCTTTCTCACTCCACAGAGCTTTGTATTTCCAACACATAGCAGCAGGTTTGCACAGCCTCAGGGAGGCTGAATCCCAACACAGCAAAATACCATCTACTTCTCACCTCTGCTCCAAACTCAGCGGTCCATTAATAATATCTTTTCTCCTTGGTGTCAAAGTGTTAGTTCTAATGCACAGAGCAGATTCCCTATCAAAAGTGACAAACTACTGCACTGGACTCAAGTATTCATGTGGAAGCAGAGCTTCCTTCCTTTTTTAAAAAGGAAAAAGAAGAGAAAAATCTACAGATGTTTCTCCCTTTGTCTTACTCTCCTCAGCAGAGGATCTGCTCTGAAAACCAGACCTCAAATAGCTTGCATGTCTTCCAAAAGCTAAAACAGCAAGAGCTCAGTTCTACAACTAACTCAGCAACACACTGTGTCATGCATCCCGAAGAACTGTTTTCTGCTGCCTGTTTTCCCTCTTACCTGATGTTAAAAAAACCCAACCAAATAAAATACAGAAGAAGAAAAAACCAAATGACAAACACTGCCAATAGCTTACTTTCAACCTTAGCTGTCTCCTTATTTGAAAGCTAGTAAGGGTAAAGCAGGAATAAGCTAAAAAAAAAAAATATGGTAGTCGAGTATCAAGACAATGTTTTATGCAATTAAACCTCAGTGGAACAAAAAGATCTTTACAGAAAGACCTGACCAATATATAAATGCTTCAGAGGCAAGTATCTACAACTCAAGTGTTTCGTGTTTGCTGCAGCATCACTGTGAAAGTCAAGTACTTAACTAAAATGACCTTTTCATTCAAGAGGTTAGATATTGTCAAAAGTCAAGGTGTCCTGCTCCTAAAACTGCTCTATACTGCAAGTCAGGATGAGTTCGCTATTGCAGACAACAAAAGCTCTGCAGCTCTATTACTAAGATTCAGAACACTTGAGACTAGTCTACTTAGATGGCCTCAGAAAATGGCACAGTTTTTCCTTCCCTTTCCCGTGACTTACTGATCTGCTAGCATTAGCCACTTTTCTTAAACAGCAACCTAAGGTTTAAGAGACTTCAAAGTTACACAGGCTCTACACTCTTAGATTATTCCCATGTTTGAATCAAAACTCAAAAGGATACAAACAGGTAGGTGTTTCTGTCCTCCAGGTTTCTCTGACTCAGGATAAAGGAGCATTCTTACTCAACAGCTTGGAAAAAAAAAAAAAAAGGCAAGAAAAGCATGTTTTAAAGAATGCAAAGCAGTGATGGCAGAGGTTCAGACACTTCAGGCTGCACATCTGTGGCAGCAAAACTTGAAGCGCTGCTTTATCAGCAGTCTGCCTTTACTTCCGAACTTTCTCCACTCAGAGGATCTCAGTCTTAGGTACTTCAAGGTTGCTGCAATGTTTAGGAATTATTTGCTCAGAGAAGGCATGAAGAACACAAAAAAGAAAGTTATCCACTTCATGGTGATGTGCCAGCTAATGTCACAAGCCCTCTTGCCAGTGGGATGTCCTAGTGTAGGCCTGGATAAGAAGAGTAGTCCATAAAGAATTTAACTGACCCAGAGCCCCTTCAAAAAGGGAGACTTCAACCAAAACTTCTGCACTACCAGTCTCTATCAGACTCTCTAGCAAGGCCCTTGGAAAGCCCAACAGAGCAGATGAGCACAGGTCCTATCAAGAATCAATAAATAACAATTGCAGAGTTTTAAGCCCAAATCAGACTTGAGTGCTGACTTCCCTCTGTTACTCAACTACTGAAGCTACTCAACTATTGAAGTAACTCAACACTGTTAGCTGATTAGAGAGCCAACCTTTCAAAATATTAACGGCCCACCATGAGAGACTAAGACTTAAGGTTACAGCATGTGGATGCCCCATCCCTGGAAGTGTTCAAGGCCAGGCTGGATAAAGCTCTGAGCAACCTGAGTGAAAGGTGTCCCTGTCCACAGTAGGGGGGTTGGGGTCTAGGTGATTTTTGAGGTCCTTTCCAACCCAAACCATTCTATGATTCTAAGACTAAGACACATACTAACAACCTATAAGGTGGTTTTACCTGTTTTACCTCCAATTACCCTATTCATTCTCTAGACTACTCAATACACAGTCCAAGCAGTGGAAGTTTACCATTACCCTAAAATCAGGAATACCTATTTGTTTAATGAAGTTTTTTCTGAGATGGGAAAGAACATTTTTTTCCTTGCCAGTGCCTGAGATATTAAGCAGAAAAAGGGACATCCTATGCACAGCAGAACTGTTGGACTCCTTTTACCAGGAGGATAAGACATTTAACTTTTTCTGCTAATTCAGCTAAAGAGGAAAAAAAAAAGCTATTCTCTTCCTACTGGAAATCCTTCTATTCTTCAATGATCATTAGCCTAGTGCCATTTCCAGGTCAACTACTGAACTACTCTGAAGTCTAAACATCGTCTAACACAGACCTTTTTTGCGCTCCCCTTTAGAGTACTACTGTGCTGCCAAGTGCCTACAGTACTACATACAGGTACTGGAAGATGGACTTCACCTCTACAGGTGATGGAATAATCGCACAAGAACATTCCCTACTGATGAGAAGTTAGCTGACCATAGCCTGAGGCTTGAGGGGTTTTTCTGCTCCTAGGTCGTTAGCAATACTGATACACTTCTCAAAATATCTCAAAGCAGTAAAGCAGAGAGGAGCTGGCTCGCACTCCAAAAGCAAAAAACTTTTGAATACAACTGATGAAAGAAGTTACAGGGTGTGAGTTATTCCTCAGAACACTGCTTCTCAGCAGCTATACAGCAGTGTGGATGGACAGTGAATACAGTACCACCACTCTACTGCTCAGCTGCAAGAAGACCTGTGAAGGCAGCTGCCAACTTCTACTGCTACAGATTGGTCAGAGAGCAATGTAGTTACATGAGCAAATCCAAGCCATCATAGAAAAAAACTTTCACAATTTCTACACCCACTTTAGTCACACATGCCTCATCTCAGCAGATATTCAACACTTTCACAAATTTCTTAGATGATGGCAGATGTTCCTAGAAAGAAGGTAAGCCTGGCATCTCATTAGAGCAACAGTGGGCACGTGTTCAAGGAGAGGGCTCCTTACATGGGCAGGAAGAAGTGCTGAATCCATACATGACAGATGCAAGCAGCAGAAGGTGAAACATGGAAGAGGCCAGGCTACCTTGACTCACTCTATAACATGGGAATGTACCAGGGCCAGATACTGCTGACAGCCCCACAGTGGATCCATCCTGCCTAGGAGCAGCTCCATGCTCCCCAGGACAACAGCCCCAGAGGAAGCACCTCTTGACACCAGCAACTCAGTAACACCAACAGCACAAACCAGCTGGCCCAGGAATGCTTATTATAAAACTCTGAGTCAATATCATCCCTTGCAGTTCTTGCTCCCTGGAAATCCTACCTTGTAGGTTTCAGGAAGTCTGTCTACAGAGACACCAAGTCCTTGCAAGTGCAGCGGTGTACTGCCACTACCGCTTTCAGTGCTGCCACTAATGAATTATCACATCCAAGGCCCACACACACGCGGAAGACAATTCACAAAGTCCACTAGTGTCCTATGGACATTAGCCAGAGTTAGAGAAGGGAAAGTGGGCACAGGTACTCCTGTCCGTATTACAGCGCTGTGAAGCAGTGAGCAGGAGTTCAGCCTGGAAAGGACAATCACAGACCATTTGATGGCAAGCTCGATGGTTAGGAAACAACGGTAGCTGTGCAAGGTTTCCCCGTGAGGGCTACAGGAAGGAGACAGACAGCAAAGAAGCTGCAGCAATTCCTGGAGCACTTACACCTATCCGTAGGGGGTATGAGCCACAGGCAAATACAACCAGTAAAATACTGCCTCTCGCAACCACCCTGGTAGCAGTGGGAGCACCGCTGTCCGAGCTGGTCCCCTCGCTGCGAGGGATACGATGCCTTCAGCCCCCACAAATGGTGCCCTCTCCTACCTCGAGCAGCCCCGGGCTCTCGCAATGGATGTCAGCAGAGCCCAGGGCTTCATTTCCCCGCGGGGAGACGAAGCAGGGAAAAGGGATGTGGCGTGGAAAGACACACACAGCCCCTTCTCTCTCCTCTCCACGCTCTCTTTCAACAGAGAGGGGCAGAAACCCCTTCAACACCAGCGCCCCCGCCTCCCAAACGCCGCGCCCCCCTTCCCCGGGCCATACCTTGTCGGCGATGCAGCGGGGCAAGAGCAAGTCAGGGCTGGGGGTGAGCGCCGGCCCCATCTCCTCGCTGCTGGACGTGGCCAGGGGATGCGGCATCTCCCGCAGCGACTTGGGCCCGGAGGACGGGAGAGGCTTGGGGGTGCTCGCCGCGCCCCCCGACATCGCGCCGGGGCCGGGCAGCGACTGAGGCAAGGAGGGAGGGAGCGGAGGCCGCGCCGCCTCGGCGAGGAGCTGCGGGGCCGCGGCTGGAGCCTGCCCGCCACCGCCGCGCTACGAGGAGCGCCAGTAGGCGGCGGCGGCTGCGGCGGAGGAGGAGGAGCGAGCGGAGCGCCCGCCTCCGCCACCGCCCGCCCCTTCCAAGGCGCCATCCGCGCCACCTGCCGCCCCGCCCCGGCCGCGGAGGGCGTGGGGCCGCCCAGCGCGCCGCGGCGGGAACAGCGCCGCCCCTGGCGGCACCCGGCGGGGCGGAGAGGGGAGGCGGCCCAGGGCCGGCATCGAGACCCGCCGAAGCCCCTGGCTGGGCGGGTCGGGCCGGGCCGGGCCGGGCGGGGGGAGATATCGGGACCCTCGAAGCCCAGGGCTCTGCCGCCCGCCTCGCCGGGAGCCGCAGCCGCCACATAGGGCGGCCCCGACGGCGCTGGTGTCGAACGGCGGGTGAAGCGCCAGAAAAGCAACCCATCTCCTCGGCTTTTCCAGGCCGAGTTCGCCGACCTCAGACTGTGTGCGTGTTTGAAGGGAAGCTGTGGTAAAGTGGTGCAGGACGAGAGTTCCCCTGAAGTCGATGTGGATGTGGGCGGGAGGGTGCCCGAGATGGCAGCAGGGCTTCGGCGGCTCCTCTGCCAGGCGGGACCGACCCCATTCGGGCACAGGAAGGACAAGGCCCTTCCCCCGGGCCTCCCTTGCGATGGGAGTGCATCGCAAGTGGACACAGGGGAGATGCTTGCACGTAGGGCCAGCGAACCACAGAAACACGCTGTCGCTGATGGCCGTGTGTCTGCTTTCGCTGCATTTGAGACATAATGCATTTTTGTAGAGTAAGGAGCTGATAGATTATATTAAATCCTGTAGAAGTGATCCATGCAAATTTGTCATTGCATGTATCCATCACCGTGATCTATCCACCATTTAACAACGTGGGAAAAGTGCTGATGATTGTAGAATAATTATTAAATAGATGAAAAATAATAGTCTGGTTTAAGATAATCCCTAAGCAGATAAAGCAGCTAAATTTTTCTGCTTTTTTTTTTTTTTTTTTTTTTTGCAAATAATGTGCTCAGCACTAATTAGACTAGCGTAACATCATACTATATCTAGACTGCGACAGTAACATGCTACTGGGGGAAGTGATGTATTACTATGAGACTGTCACAATCCCTTCCAGCTATAGATAGATATATGAACATAAACACACAAGACTTGACCTAACAAGACTTGGATGCCTGAAATATCTCACTTGCGTCTAACTTTTCCCTGGGGGAGTACAATCCACTGAAATCAAAAGGGCAGCACCAGTACCTAAAGCTAAGGTAGCAAGTTTTACAGGTGTCAATGCCAGGTGCCACACAGCAGGACAAGCATGAGAGCACATGTGGACTGTCATTACAAAAAGAAATCCTACTTGTCATAGGGAAAAAAATATGGGAAAAAAAATCAATCCTTACTATAAATAACTATTCAGTATTACATAACGTTTGAACTCCAGTAACAATCAAAACTCCAAATCAAGTGCCAAGCCCCAATGAGAAAGCAGCTGTGAAAAACTCTTTGTTCATGACATGTTCATGACACAAACAACAACCTATTTATCAGGAAAAGGAAACAATTATCATAAATACATACATCTCAGCCATCTTCTAGACTATCCAAATCTTAAGTAGAAACTTGTGATAAAGCAGCAGGTCAGTTTGTATATCTGTTCTACTGCTCAGAAACTAGTTCCCCTCAGTGGGAACTCAACTCCCCTCCCCTCGCGAGAGCCTGTTCCTCAAAGGCTTATGACTTACTAAGAGCTATTCCTCTGTTTTCCCTTAAGCATTCTCACCCAGCTCTGTTTCCAGCTGAATCCTTCTCCAAAGGAAACCTGTCAGGGACACCCAAAACCTTCAACACTTGGAAACCTTGGGGCATTCTAGCTCTGTGCAGGTACAAATGACCCTCTGCTCATCAAACCTTGGCTTGGTGGACAGTGAGCTGAGCATAAGCCTTGCAGGAAAGACCTACACAGCAGGCAGCACAGGCAGCAGGTCGAGGGCAGAGTTTATAGCTCTCTGCTTGGCATTTGTTAGACCTTATCAGATACACTGTGTTCAGTTGTGGATCGTTTATACAAGATGCTGACAAACTGGACAAAGTTCAGAGGGGGCACTGAGACGGCTGGTGACAGGAACACTTGCCTATGAGCAGCAGTTGCAGGGCTGAGGGTTTTTCAGCCTGGAGCAGACGTGACTTCAAGGGCACTTAACTGCAGCCTCCAGTACCCCCTAGGGACAGAATGGAAGAGAGAACTGGGCTTTTCACAGCAGACATAGCAGGAGGACTAGAGACAAAGGACATCGATTGAAACAAGAAATTCCTGATGGAGGTTAGGAAGAATTTTTTCCCCCTGAAGACAGCCAAGAGGCAGAGCACATTGCAGAGAGAGGTTGTGCAGTGTCCACCCTTGGAGATTCTCAAGACAATCTAGTCTGATCTCATGTCTGAGCTTCCTTTAAGCAAGGGATTGGACCAGAGACCTCCCTATGTCCCTTCCAGCATGAAAGATTCAGTTATTCAGATAACATGTTGCTATAGAAGTCATTATGTCTAGTTCCTGAGGTTATGTAAGGTGACTTCTCAATTATCCTGTACACAAGAATGAAGTTCCATGCTCCAGAGATTTTACTTACTGACTAAAGACAGATGTCTGTCCTCTTCTGATTTTAGTAAGTATACTAAGTCTATAAAGATTGTACAGGTAGCATTCTAGGTTTAACAAAGACATACATTCAGAAGCAGATGCAAACTATGATACTGAGAATGAGAAGAAAGCCAGATTGGATGGGGATTTGAGCAACCTGGTCAAGTGGAAGGTGTCCACTGGGGTTGGAACTAGAAGATTTTTAGGGTCCCTTCTAACTTAAACCATTCTTTCTATGAGAAGAGTTCAAAATCATCAATCTTACCTCAAAATAGATTAAACTTACTTTAAATGTGTAATCTGAAAAATCTCTACAACTGCGTGGCCTTTTCTTGGCTGTATTCTCTGCAAGTTCATATTACAGACTAAGGTGAGCTTTAAGCCTCCCCTTCAGCCATGAGAAAAACCCATTTCAATTTTTTTTTAATATGGAAGACTACAATCTCATGTACTTGATTTCAAGGGCTGGAACTTCAAAAAGACAGAAGATAAAACAGTTTTAAGACTTGCATTTGAAATTAAGAGTTGGGAGCAAATTCTTGTACCTTGATTAGAACTAGTCACACATTATCAACAGAGGTCATAAAGAATTCCAAATCTTTTGTTCATGAAACAGAAAAAAGGCACGCTATGTAGCTGACTTCTTGTAGGAACTGTTTTCTACACACAAATAGAAAACCTCCAAATGCATGAGCATGTGGATCATGTGGGTCCAACAGCAGGCACAAGAAGTATAGCCAAAAACTGAGGAAGGAAAGTGTCTATTTTTTCTAACACCAGCAGTGAAGTAAGTAAATATTTTAATTCTTCTAAGAAATTATGAGTGATTAAAAACACGAGAATGTACCATTCTCTAGTTCCTACTCCTTACCACCAACTGTGATGGTATCATTTTATGACTGTAATACTTTCCTTGACCTTTATATTGATAGTTTTCGTCAAACATTGACCAAGCTAAAACCAATACACACATGAAACATGCAACCATAATAAAAGACTGAAAACCAAAATCAATGACAAGTTGAAAGGAGGCTGCCATTCAATGCCCATGTCTTAACCCAAGTTTAACTGAAAAAACTGGCATGCTCTCCTAGCAAAATCCTAACTATTATTTATTATTTTTACATCATTTCAGCTCAGAAACAAGATGAAACAGAATAGATATGCATGTAATGCTAACTGGGCAAGAAGAAAAATGGTCGATCTGGGGATCAAGAATCTCACCAATTTAAAACCAAAGGTCACCAGTTGCATGTGTTTTTTTCTGAAGAAAATAGCTCTGTCTCTGTATCACTGAAATGAAAGTCCTGCAGGCTACTTCTTTGGATTGTTGGATAAATAAGGAGAGAAAGGATCTACAGGTCACCTGTAGGAAGACTATTTACAAATTTAAAGATAGGCAGGACCTATCTTGTACTGCTGTTCTGATTTGAAGTGCCAGTTACTCCACTAATACCACTCAGGATGCTTTTTTAATGGCATATGGCTTTATAAGTGCTCAGTGTTAGCCTGAAAAGGACTCTCAGTTGTTTATTAACATTGTAATGCATCTTCATCTTCTTGTTCAGATAATGGAGACATAAAATGGCAGTAGAGTTTACAGTCAATATCAGGAGGCTAACTTCAGGTTGTATTATTTACTAGACCAAACATGTAAAGCCCACCTGCTTTTCATCAAGTATTCTATTTAAAGCCTAAATTATAGGATTCTTCTCTTAGTACAAACAGTACAAACAATAAGGTAGGCTGGAGGCCTTAACAGTCAAACTGTCAGGCTTGGCTAGTTTGCCAGGTCAAGAACAGTAAAAGCTCTTTTCTCACACTATCAACAGCCTCTCCTCAACTGCTTTATGTTTTCCCCACTGTGGTCTACGTTGGAGAGGATAATGTTCATGCTTGTCTGCACAAAAGCACATATGAAACCAATATGGAACAAGACCGTTCTAGAGGATGTAAAAAAAAATAAAATCCAGCTGTCTTTTGAAAAAGGTCCTTCCTTCCATATGCTACCAGAACTCATGTCTTGTACTGCAGAGATTGAAAAGGGCAGGCTTTTGACCCAACCCTGTTGAATCTTATGCTCCTGCTCATTGGCTGTCTGCAGAGATGGGATCAGTTTCAAGTCATCAGCACACAACATATGAGCACTCACACACACGAGTAAGCTAATGGCTAAGATTTTGCTGCATCAAAAGCCTTCAAAGCTGTCAAGTTTGATGGGGATGCAATAAACAGGATAGTGGGAACATAGGGCACTTGTGATAGAAAGGGAAAGCCCGTGCTAAATGGCTATCAAATGAAAAATCATAAATCCAGTCAAGGAGAAAGACCACGGATACAGTATCTTTAGGCAATAGGATATAAAAAAGTAATACAACTAAAATGTTTAAATACTCTTCATTCTACTTTGTTCTACGGTTTGGGTTTTTTTGTGACAAACCACAAAAACATAAATAAAGAAATAAAAGGAGGTGTTTAGGATGGCTCTGTATGAGTAGCACTGCCAATTGGAAATAAGAGCAGCATTCTGGAAGATCTTGGCTCAAGCCAAGGAGACATCCTGCACACACTATTTTCACTGAGTAGGGTTGCGGGGGGGAACAATGAGTAAATAATTATTTTACCTCAGCCTGTAGTGAATAGAACTGCCCATGGCCATTCTGAAATACTGACATTTATGATCATTCAGTATCACATCCAATTTAAAACAGGGTGGGGTTTTTATATAACGAGATACACAGATCCCTCTACTCCAACATGACAAGAACAGCCAGCCCGAAAAACAGCATTATATTGCCTCAAGAAACAGCTTGGCCAGATTTGTGAGGCAATGTTCAAGAACAGCTTTATTAAAATTTTATAATTACTTTCTAATAGACGCACTATAAATGCTACATTTTATATTTTTTATTTGATTACAGTGAACAAGAAGGAGGAATTTCAGGGAAAATGAAAGTATTCTGAAACACTAGAGATTAGACACCATTCCTTTCAAGGGCTTCATTCCTTCCTGTTTCTACAACCCAAGCAGGAAATATATTGACATTGATATGAAACTCCTCCCAAAGCCAAAGGATCATTTGACTTGAGGCAGGACTATGTTTTTGTGGAGATACTCAAAGCTACTGTGATCAGTTTTCACCACACTTGTACAGAAGCACAGAATTAATGAGCCACAGCTTTTCTGCACCTGAATTTCCTTGCTGATAATTCCTCCCCTCAACCTGCTACTTCTTTCCTTCCTTGATCCCCAGATAGGGACCACTTTCCACTTATTAATTCTTCTTAACAACATTAACTGTGTCCAAAAAAGAGCCCAGCAGCTTGGCCTGTCTGTCTCAAACTACATTTTTTTAGAATCACAACATCAGTCTGTCATGATGATGCAGAGAAATGCACCAGTTAGGATTACTGGCTGCGGTGCTGTGCTGGTCTCCACCCAGAGTGCTTCTCAGCAGTTAAGGATAACAAGCAAGATATCTAGATAAAATGAACTGCAGATCTTCTAAGAGAGAATAATTAAAAGGGGAAAAAAATTGCACATACGACAGTTCTCATGGCACAATGAGAAAGTACAAAATGAAACAAAACAAAACATAAAAATCAGAGGTGCTCAGTCAGCTGCTCATGCAAAGAGAACAGGTGAAAATAATAGTCATATGTGGGAATGGCAGCAATGTTTGCTTTCCACAGTATTAATTAGCACAGTTTTAAAGCAAACAGAAAACTCCCTGAGATTGCCTCCTGGTTTGGGTAGACACACACAGGCACACATACACTGGTTTTACCAGGCCAGCAATCCAGGTAACTAAATTCTACATCTGGACATTGCAGGTTTGCAGACATAAATTTGTTCAGTTTCTCAAATTTCACACTTAGTGTTTGAAAATTAGGTATAAATGCATGGACAGACAGCATACTTGGTAGCAGAATATTGCCTATCTCACAGAATCTACGTGTATAATACTAAGGCACATTATTTTAAGACAGATGAATCAATTAGTGTAGATACAGGATTTTTATACATTCTGAACCCTTTCAAAATGTAATTTATTTCTTCATCATCTAGTATAGCTGGCTGCAGCAGATTTTAAGAAATTGTTAATTGCCTTCAACATTTATATATATATTTTGTTGTCCAAGCTAATGGACTACTGTCGCATTTAGCACCTGGCACACCCTATGTACACTTTTACCAATGTAAATAATTCCATTGTAACTAAACAAACAGTTTTTAATAAGCCATTATTCCACTTCAGGCTTGAACAGTGATGAGGTTATGGACTTATACAGATTTATACCATGGACTAAACAGAAAGAGGAAGCACACAAAATTACTCTGCAGTGTCCAGAGGGTTTGACAACCAGATCCAGTATCACCTTTGCCATAAAGAAGTGCCATTTGCTCAGAAATGCCTGTTACGTATACCATCAAAACCTCAATACTAAAAAGATGATGTGTGTCTACACAGATACACCTTGAACTAATTCATACAAAAAAAAAAAAAAAAAAAAAAAAAAAAAAAAAAAAAAAAAAAAAAAAAAAAAAAAAAAAAAAAAAAAAAAAAAAAAAAAAAGGTAGTAACTGATTTCCTGTACCTATCTTTCAATTTGGTAAAAAAGAAAAAAAAGGCCTTTATGTATTGAAAATTGTTTAGTGCCCTAAAAGAACCCTGCATATAAAACTGAAGTAGGCAATGTGACTGATTTTTGGCTATCAAGAGGTCAGTGTTGTATGCAGTCTTTTAGATTATTTATTTATTGCAGTTCTTAATAATTGATTTTATTTATGAACAATCAGAGCTACAGCTGCTACGGGCCACAGTTCAAATCACTACTCAGCCTGGTTTGATTCAAACTGATTTTAACCACAAGGACATAAACAAAAAGTCACAGTTTGCTGTTACAAGACTAAGGCTTATCCTCCAGTTTAGACCAGATCACTCAATTAAAGATACTCTCATCTATAAACCTGTTACTTGACATTTCAAAAGCAAAGCATGCAGCAGTTCCATGAACAAACCTTTCTGAAATTCCTGCCAGATATTGTTGCAGTATCCAAACTGTGTGACTGTGATTAAAAAAAAAAAAAAAAAAAAAAAAAAAAAAAAAAAAAAAAAAAAAAAAAAAAAAAAAAAAAAAAAAAAAAAAAAAGGCAGGGGTGTCGGGGTGCTGGGGTTGTTTGGCATGGAGAGGAGGCAGCTCGGGAGGACCTTCTCACTCTACAACCACGTGCAACGAGGTTGTCGCCAGGTGGGGGTCGGCCTGTTCTCCCACACAACCTGTGACAGGATGAGAGGACATAGTCCTAAGCTGTGCCAGGGGAGGTTTAGGTTGGACATCAGGACGAAGTTCTTCACAGAAAGGATGATCAGACATTGGAATGGGCTGCCCAGGGAGGTGGTGGAGTCACCATCCCTGGAGGTGTTTCAGGAAAGACTGGACATGATGCTTTGCCACTCAGTGCTACGGTCTAGACGTGGTGTTCGGTCACAGGTTGAACTCAATCTCAAGAGGCCTTTTCCAGCCTAAGTGATTTTGTGACCCCTTCCCTTCCACTTGTGTTTTTTTTTCCCGTTTAACCGTGATGCTGCCTGGAGGCCCCCACAGTGAGACCCGAGGGTGAGGCCCTCGCGCTTGCTGCCGTGCCCAGGCGGATGAGGCAGGAAAGCAGAGCCTTACGGTTGCAAGGCCCGCTCCCCGTGGCCCGGCCATGCCTCCCCCCACCCCCCGCCCCGCGATCCCAATCCCGATCCCTCGGCCCGGCCCTTCCGGGCAGTGCGGGATGGGGCGGCGCCGTCGCGCGGGGAGCGCGTCATGGGCGGCGGGGGCGGGGGAGCCGGGGCGGGGGAAGATGGCGCTGGGGCCGCTGCGCTGCGGGTGAGGACGGCGGGGCTGCACGGAGCCCGAGCCCCGAGCCCTCGGACAGGTGGGAGCGGAGCGCAGGTAACGGAGCACTCCCGCCCGCCCGGCGAGGACGGCAGAGCTTGTCCATCGCTTGGGGGCGGGGGGGAGAGCCGAGCGGGAGAGCCCGTTCCCGAGGTTTAGGGGAGGCAGGAGAGGGTCGGGCCGTCCCTGGCTCTGGGAGAAGCGCGTCCCGACCGCTGTCGCTGCGCTTAATGCTGCCCTTGAGGCGCTGCCCCGGAGCCCGTGGGTCCAGGCGTGGCAGCGTCCTGGTCTCCCGTGGTAGCCTGGCTGAGACTCCCGGTTCGGTTTCCCGCGGGATTCAGCGCTCCCGTCCCTCCCCTCCGCCCGGCTGAGCCGGAGGGCTTCGCCGCCGTTTTTCACAGCTGGGCACCTGGATGGGAGCAGAAGTTGATGGTGGCTCGAGGTGACGAGGAACAAGCTCTTTTTTTGTTTTGCCAGAGCTGCAGCCACCTTCGGCTGGCCTTGTATCCGGGATTTAAATTGCCTCTCCTCAGACAGTCATTTTTTTTCTTGAGTTGGAGCCTAAACCGAGGTCTTCAAAGGCTTAAGCGTTTAAGGACTACAGTGGTTTAATGTGATTCTTAAATGAAGTCTGACATACCTTGTCAGGAAGAGGTTCAGTCGGGAAAACCCGTGTGTGACTCCAGAATAACTTTAAAGGTTGTTCTTACTAGAATAGAAATTACTAGAAATTATTATTACTACTAATATAAATTACTAGAATCTGAAAAAGAATTTATCGAAGCTTTTGATATTTCAGACTCAAAGTTTCAATCAGAACAATATAAACTGTATAATACCTTTTAAGCAATGCGTGTGTTGTGTTTGGCTTATGCTCTCTGACAGTTGCCACGTTTATGAAATCTCTAACAGAATGAAATGCAGCCTCTTCTTTTGAAGGAGTATGTCTGTCTTACGTTGTGCCTGTTTTGCAGATATTTGTGGGGGTTAAAAGGTTTGGACTACAGTTGAATAAAACAAGGGCTGAAAATTGAAGGATGGCAGCAAATCCTTCAGGACAAGGTAGGTTTTAATTTAAGTATTCAAGGGAGAAGTCTGTGTGCAAAATGGCAATGAAGTCACTATAACTGTAACTTTATTTAATGAAAAGATCAGGATGGGGAAGATAGGTGGGGCTGAAGGCAGCAGAATGGGAGCAGTCCTTTTGGGAGAAGGCACACACAGATTAAAGGGTTGAAAAAGGCCACTGGTGGCTGGGGAGCTCTGTGTTACTGAACATACTCTCATGTTCAGTTTAGAAAGTATCTGCCATGCCTGTGGTGCTGTGATCATTTCCTGAAGCTTATTTCAGATGCTTCCAGCACTTGATATTGAACATGACTTGCACTCAACATCAAGGAAAAGTCGGAAGACAAATGCATTGCATGTCATGATGAAAACAGCAAGACCCAGACAATAATATCTGTCCAAGGATAGAGAAAGTGGCCAGGCCTAGGTGAAAAAGCCAATTAAAATCATAATGCCAACTGCAATTAAATGTTTCTTTGTACAAAGAGGCAGCTGGATTGCATCCTTAAAATCGTTAAAAATATGGAAATGGTGCATCTATCCAGCTGAGGCACCTGTGTTAGAGACAGCTGAGGATGTCACACGGTGAATTAAAGGAGGGTCTTAAACCGCCCTCTAGAGGTTTTCTGGAAACCTTAGTGGGATTCTGAGGCTTATCTTCCATAGAAGAGCTGAGGAAAAGGGAGCTTCTTAGGTGTGGCTCTCTGCTTACTTGGTTATGAGAAATGAATTCTGTGTTCAGTTTCCTGGCAATCAGAGAATTCTTCACACACATCTCTGTGTGAGTCCTTTTCCAGCAAAGCAGTCCTGCAAAACTGTGTGTTGCTGGATGATACTTTGAGGGGCACCATATTAGTGTGTCCAAAAGACACATCTGACTTGCTACTTGACAAAAAGAAGGTAGTTTTTGGAATGGTTATTGAGATTTTGTGAAGTGTTGGAAGAGGAGTACTACAGATTGCAGATAGTTGTCTGTTTGCAAATTGTAACTCTGAGAAGTTTTTGGTACATAATGGTAAATCCTGCTTTATTCTGTGAATAACAAGTGAGCATCACTGCAAGGAATAGAATGTTGTCACAGAGAGTTAAAAGGTGCTTTTTCTTAAATATGTTGGTTTACTGAAAAAGGTGGGATGGGATTTTAGTCCCAAAGTACCTTTGCTTCCCTCCACATTCCAGAGTCTTATAAATTTAATAGAGTCTTGGAATCTGTTTTTATATTTGAGATATCCTTTAGAGACTCACTAAAGGAACCGTGTAATTGTCATGTGAAAATTGTTTGTACTAATCAGGCAAGAAACACTGTCCAGTTTAATTACCAAATAAGACTATAAATAGTACAACTAGGAAAATTAGAAAGGAATAGGTAAATACAAACAACAGTTCAGGGTTTCATCTTGGCCAGATGCAGTGTAGTAGTGAAAATGATTAAGATAAACACTGCATTTTTTAGCTTGCTTCATGGCATATGTGTTAGCACTGTTCAGGCAATTCATTCTGCTATTTCTCTCTTTGTGGGCTAAAGGAAGAAATTTACTGAAACACTGGAAGGTTTATGAGTTATTAGCCTTCTACGCAGGTAGACCATCTTGTTAATTTTTTGTACCACTGCTGTGCTTTTAATCAGTGCCAGGTATTTCCTTAGGAGTTGAGTTTTCTGTCGATTACAGACTTGGACTATAAAAGTTAAGATTCTGCGGATTTGACTGCCTTTTATGCATTGACCTCTTAGAAAAGCACTCCTGAGGAGGAGCTGCACGAGTGCAGCAAAACCAAGCAGAATTGAATGAAAAACATTATGTCAGGCTGTTATTGCCACATGGAACTGATTGCATGAGCCTGGCTACAGCATTTGAAAGAAATGGGAAAGCTTCTAGCATGCTGTGTGTTGTCCAGACCAGAGCTTATAGACCAGAGTGGTACACTTTGGGGGGTGGAAGTCATCTTCTAAGTGACAGAAATCACTTCCAGGTGCTCAGAAATACACTACTGCTGCAGCCATACTTGGCAGTATTTATGCTGTTACACGTCTATGGACAAATGATAAATAATGCCTCTTATAAAAAAATTACATATACTGTGAATTTTTAAGCAACTAACAAATTGAGGAAAAGAAGCGATGAAAAGCAAGAACTTTAAAAAAGATAAAGGTAATAATACTGTTTCTTGCTGTGCAGAGTTAGTAGAACTAACTGACATAATATTAGTGAGATAGGGTGGTAAGAGTAGGTGTTGCGATCAGGTTAAAGAGTGAAACTTGCTGTGAACTCTAAAAACTACCAGTATCACTCAGCAGGGCTTCAGCTTTCTCTGTTTTTGTGCCATCATGTGCAGAACATGGGTGCAAGTAATCTCTTGGCTCCTGCACAGATACAATGCTTGATGTCAGAAGTAGAGGTGTCAGAAGGGTTTAACTTTTAAACGACCTGATTTGTCTGTGTTAAGAGAGTTATCTGAGAATCTAGGTGCTCAGTTTGACATCTGACACTGCCAATAATCTGTTTAGCTGCCTTGAATGGGTCATTTTGTGTCAGGACTCTTGTGTCTGCAAAGCAGGGAAGAGTATTAATGAACTGTAATATTCATGAGCTGTTCAAACTCAATATAGTAGTGCAACTCAGCCCAATCAAGGGAAGTCAAAACTTACAGCTTTTTAAAGAAGTTCCTGTGTTTGAAAATCTGCACTTCCTTTCACAGATGGGAATCCGGTCTGTACTAAGGATAGCTTTTGTTTTCTGGATGTCCACATTTTTAGTACTAGAAAGCAGAACAGACATATCAAATCTACAGATGAAAAATTATTTATAATTGAAGTAGGAAACTTTTGTGTTTCAAGTTTGTCTTGGATGCCTGAGCAGAGAAGAATCTAAATTAAAGTCTTACTTATATATATTGCCAGATATGATTAAGTATTTTGTAAGGATGCCAGATTTTCTCTGTAAACTGGCTTTCTCATGTTCCACCCCCTCCATTGTTAACTTTTAAATGAAAGGTTTTGGTTTGCATTTTGAAGAAGTTTAAAACATCTGTAGGAACTTCACATTGCTCAGCTGAGAAGAGCTAGCATGCATATGTGGATTAAACTCCTTCACTTTCTCAAGTGGCCTTTTTTCTCCTTACCATTAACAAATTATAAACAAGTGACTTTTTCAGCACAGCAGATTGCTGATGGTCACTGAATTCTAGAGCAAAATGCTACTTTAAAAAAAGGACAATCAATCAAAGAAAAAAACCCGCCACACAGCTCTTAGTAGAGAGGTCAGAAAGGGAAGAAAAAATACTTATTTTGTTTCTGAATCCCTCTAGAGTTTCTGCCATAAGATACTGTAACAAGTCATATTAAAATAGAAGACAGTGACAATCTTCAACTGTTTCTGATCACAGTTTAAAAACAGCATTTAAAATGTCTCAAGCCTTTCTGAATCATACCATCTGCTTCACGATAAATTTAAGCACATTTAGTCTTTCTTTTTTAGCTCACAGCAACCTTTATTAAAAAGTTGTCTCCCTTTTCTTTCCTCATTCACTGTATCATCTGAATTCCAAGCATGCATTTAGATTTATGCAGTTCAGGGTAGTAGCAGAAGGCTGCTGAGTAATATGTCAGGCATTAAGCTTTTTGGCTGAAAACTGTGTAGAATAAGCATATAGACATGATTGCTTAAGCTCAGACCTTTTTAGGGGTGCTTCAGTCATCCTGTCAAGGCATTGTCTCCAGAATTTACAAGAAGGTAAAATCTGGGCTAGCTGCAGCTCCAAATGTTGAATCCTAGCTTGTTAGGAAGATTTCTCAGCCTTTATATGTTTTAGACCACACATTCAGCTGTGTTTTAATGTTCCAGGTTCATTGCAAGTCCAGTGTCTTCAAAAAGGAGTTGATGTACAATACCTGAAAAGCAGAGAAACATGAATCAAGCACTTACAAGATAGTTTAAGTGAAGTTAATGCAACGTGGAAAGGAGAGATTAGGAGAAAGAAAAAATAGCAGTTAATTAAATGTAATTTAAAAAATTCTATTAAATGTAAAAATTACTATTTTAAAAATTTTTAATAGTTATTTTATTGGCATGTTAGTTATAGTTATTACTATAACTTGTAATTAAAAAGACTACTCCTTTTTAGAACACCTGAGACACTGAGGCACATGGGTGCCTATGTTAGGCATAGTAAAAGAGAAAGGTGAGGATTTGATAGCAAGGCAGTATGGATGCAAGTTGTTATATAGAGTTGAAGGTTTCTGTCTGGTAATTATCTCCTTCACTGAGCCATTGAGATGAAAGGAATACTGGATAATGTAATTGAACAGAAGGTCTCTCAAAGGCAATGAACTTTGAGTGCAACTACTGAAAATAAATCATTTTACCTTGACATGCTAATGTTCTCCTTAAGTGTCTGGCCTTAACAGCTTGTGGGCTACCATGTTTTAGTGCTGTCACTAAAACAGTGCTCAAGGCAGGAGCCCAACACACAGCAGTTTCCAGTGGGAATGACTTTGACTTTTTGTATGGAGGAAGTAAAGGAGATAGCTTGACTGCAATGAGAACCTTTATTCTATAAGAATCCTGTGTAAGTACATACAGTAGCTTTGCCACGTTTTCACTTAGAAGGCAGCTATTTTGGGCATTTTTGAATGCTCTACTTCCTGACCCCTTCTGTAATATACAGGGTTTCTTTGGGAGAATGATTTACAAACAAAATGTTCTTGTATTGTGTACAGACAGTTTAATTTTGCTTCTCTACTCCAGCATTGTGATCGTCCTCACAATAAGGGTAGTGTGTTTATGTAAGGACATCAGTGTATATATACTAAAACCTTTCTGCATAGGTTGAATGAAAGACAGTGTTTGTATAAACACATGTGCAAGCCTAGTGATCATTCTTACCTGTTACATGCATAGTACTTGTGTTATAGTTTGAGTTCTCTAACATGAGAAATTAGGCCCTGTGAGTATATTACTCCATTGTTATCATTGAGTTGAACATTCAGTTACTGCATTTTAAATCTACAGCCTGGTAAGTTCACCTTTTTTTTTGGAAGACAAGTATTTGATCGTATACCTTGACTGTAGCTCCAGAGCTGGCTTGGGGTAGAATCTAACTTGAGTTAGAAGCCTCTGTTTTAAAATGTATTAATATGCGTGATGATAGCTTATGGAAGCTATTGCATGTTACAAAATGAGAAAAGGAAAAATGAAGCCTATTTATTAATAGCCTTTTTTAAATGGTTACAAAGCTTGGAAGGTTAGTGTATTCATCTTAAAGTAATTTTGTACAGGGATTTATAATTCCTCAAGGTTAGAGTTGGGCCACAGATATAAAATAAATATCTCTAATATTTTTCTGTCATTCCTACCAGGTTTCCAGAATAAAAATAGGGTTGCAATCCTGGCAGAACTAGACAAGGAGAAGAGAAAGTTACTTATGCAAAACCAGTCTTCCACAAATCACCCTGGAGCCAGGTATTTTATGTTCTTAGACCTATTTGAACATCACTGATTACATCAAAGGAAAAAATAGCAAGTGAGCTGTAAACTTAAACAAATACTTATCAGAAATGTTTTCTGATTATCCTTAATAACAAGGCAGAGGGACATGGCTCTCTTTAGGAACATAGTATTATTTTAAATTGTTCACACCCCCTGAATTTAGGCTTACAGAATTTCCATTTGAGAATGGGAGAAGCAGATATGCTTACTCAGGTGTACTAAAGTCTATGATAATGCAAAATTAGGAAGCAGGCACTGAGAAAGCATTTAATTATTAAGCTAAAATGCTCTAAGGAGTGGAAGTAGCAGATCATTAGGTGCAGGATACTGTGCATTTAGAGAAGAACAATTACAGCAGAATTGAGTTACTCTTGAAACTCCCTATGTGCAAGACAAAGCTGCTTTATGTTACTGCAGATAATCTCATAAAAGATGCTGTGTTGTAAGGATGATTCTGCACTGTAAAGTGTAATAATCTAATCTGAGTTTAAGGGCTGTTACTGGGATTTCTCCCATACAAGGAAAAAGATAAGATTTGCATCATAAATCAGTAACTAGAAAATCACGCAGTAATTTATATGGAGAATTTGAGATACTCAAACTTCTGGGTTAGCATGAGGTGAGTGCAGTGACATATTCTAGACACAGCGTAATATGCAGTATCAGTTCAGGAGTCAGGTACTCTGAATACAGTCCAAGGGCTGCTCCTTTTCAGAGAGATTCTAGGTCATGTAATTCCTTCATGATGTAAAAAAGCGTGCATAATACTTGAAATAGCCTGAGTTAGATCTCTTAAGTGAGATGTCTAATTATTAATAGTAACTATGCAGTTATTATTCAAGCAAAATTGTTGATATGAAAATCAGAATATCATGGTGTTATGTACAACCCCTGACTCCTGGCAACAGTGTTTCTGTAGGCCATTACAAGTCTGGCAGAGTTTTGGAACTGCTTGTTTACTTTCTTTTCTCTTTAGGGAAAAATAACACTATATTTTAGTAAGCATAATTAGAATTTACTAATTTTGAATGTGGGGACAGGGGGAACCTGCAATGCAGCAGTCAAGCTCTCTGCTTTGGCATGGTGGGCTGTTGCGTGATTTTTGAGAAGCTGACAGTTTTTTGGTGTTGTGCCAAAGGTCTTGGACTACAGAGTTGTCAAAAATGAGGCCATAAAAATTCTGCAGACTTGACTGAAAGAGCTTGATTTACCTAAAGCACTATGGGGGAATGGACAGTGCAAGGATGAATGAGTTAATATGATTTCTGGCCTTGGCACAAGAATCCTCCATCCAAGAACAGAAGACCTTTCTTGAAAAGTGTCAGTTTATGATGAAGCCTTAAGATTATCTACAGAAATATTGAAAAGTTAGAGGCTACAGTTTAAATGCAAAATAAATACCTTCAGAATAATTGAAAATACTGTTTTAAATAAACTGAATAGTACTTTTCCCTGTCAGTGAAGCTTATCTTAATATTTGTCAAAAGCAACAATCCTCTGAATAGTTTAGCTTTTGTTAACGCATTTAGGCATAGATTTGGCTAAAGATCTTTTCATGAGCGTGACTGCCTTTCAAAAACTCATTTACTAAATCAGCTGTTGACATTGAAGCTACTGGGAAAGTTCACATGATGAGTTTGCTTGGATCCCTTGTCATTTGTACTTTTTTCTCTGTGACTGAGAGCTGGGCTTTCAGTGTGTCTCCGGTGACAGTTGTGTTGGGATACAGTTCTAATGGCAGTCCTCACTGATTTACGTCTATTACTTTCATAGAGTTGGGAATGCTTTTTATGTCTTTTTTTGCTTAAGAAAGTGGACAAGTCCTAAGATCTAAAAGACAAGAAAAAACATTTATAAATTTTAACTTGAAACCTTACATATTCTGCGCTAAGATAGTTTCAAATCAGTTTCAGGTACTCCCAGCTATCAGCAGGGGATCATTATTTCAGTTAACATCAACAGGAAACTCCTTTACCATAAGTAGTGAACTGGTGCCCAGCTGCCAAAGAACTACTCTTTTACTGAAGTCTGCAGAACTCCTATTAGTGCTTCTGTTCATCACAGCTGTTTAGAACAGTCACTTGGTGACTGAGTAGTGCTGAAAGCACCAAGCTATTGTTTTAAAAATTGCTGACATTGTCTAATGCTGCGCCCCAGTGGTTTCATTGACTCCAGTGGGACTCAACCCATGAGCAAAATCCACTATAGGCTTCAGGTGTAGTTTGGCATAAGTTGTTTATGTCTCAAATGATACAGCTATAGTCACTCCATTTACCTTTTTCCTCTTATATTAACAAATAGTAATTCCAAACAGTAATTACCAACTGTCAAGCCATGAGTCAAATAAACCGTGAGTTGAGGAAGTCAAGGAATCTGTGGCTAGAATGGCCAGGACACATTTTTCCTCTGGTCTGTATGATACCATCTTGTTCTTTTTTGCAGCATTGCACTTGCAAGATCACCTCTGAACAAGGATTTCCGTGATCATGCTGAGCAACAGCACATCGCAGCACAGCAGAAGGCTGCACTGCAGGTAAACTACAGTCAATTATTAGCTTGGCTCTGGTTTAGATGTGCAGTCCTGCACCTATAGATACTGAAGAGCCATCTCCTTGGATGTCAAGAGCTCCACCCAGCCCCACAGCCCTCTCTTTGTGTCTCTGTTGAACTCCCTCCAGTTTCTGTCTCAAACTGAACTCAAAGTTTCCCTTGGCCAGCTGGCTGTGCTGTTGATGATGAAGTCCCCTGTGCCAGTTAGCCTTGATCACTGCAAGGGTACACTGCTGGCTCAATCTAAATTTGATATCCAGAAGGGCTTTTCCCTGGTGGTGGAAGGAAGGAATATGCAGGCCATCTAACTTGCCAGAGTCCAGTAAGTTAGCAAACTACCAGGAAAGGAGTATGTAGGATTTCACAAAGGTTGTTCACAGCCATCTTACAGTGCCCCCCTCAGGTGAACAAACACATAAATGTCATGTGAGCAGAATGCTGGTGTTCCATGTTGTACCAAAATGCGTCTGGTAACACGCTGTTTGTACGTGCAGGCTCAGGTTGTGGGACAGTCATGCACAATTCTGGCAATTTCTGTGGTAGCTGTCACAAATCAAGACCTCTGAGTTTGTTATAGATGGGAGTGGAAACATGGGGTCTAGGCAAAGAAGAGAAATCAGGAGCTGATTTACCAGTAGCCTCATCTCCATGGGATTTGCTGAAAAGAACAGCAGGAAATGTCCAAGTTAATTGCCTTGATGGGCCCTGTTCCAGTGTGACTGATCTAAAATGCTGGGTTTGAATTTGACTATCAGATTTGAGGAGAAGACTGAGAGAAATAAATAATTAATGCTGCAGAAGCCTTGAAGTCTTAAATTATGTCAGTGCTACAGGGAGTTACGCTTTAACAAATGCTTTTCTCTTTCCAGCATGCACACGCACATTCCTCAGGATACTTCATAACTCAAGACTCTGCGTTTGGAAATCTTATTCTTCCTGTCTTACCTCGAATTGAGGCAGAATGAGGAGTGTTGTTTCTCAGAACTTCAAGATCTGTGTCTCTAGCAGGAGCTGTCTGACCTTTTAATTTCTTTACATATCTTCAAATCTATTTTTTTCTGTATTTTTACAGTTACCTTCCAGGAATGTGAGCTGTCATGATGGGGAAGTAGTGTTGTTGAACAACAATTTTTATCCTGTATTACTGTTCCTCTGTCAGGTCAAAGTCAAATGTAAGACTTCCTTGTGTTTGAAGTGCACAGGGTTTGCTCCTCCCTGTTTCAGTGCTTCCTTTAAATAAACATCCAAAACAGAGTCATCAAGAGATGCACATGTGCTCTGTCACTATTTGTGTTTCTTTTTATTGTGTAGAGGTACAATATTTCACTTCGATGGAAGACAAAAGTTACTTTTGTCCATCAAAACAGATGAATTTATCAAATCCATCAGTCAGTCTTCCTCCCCCCTCCTGCCCCCTTGTATGCAGGTGTTTCTAGTGTGCTGTTTGCTGTTGTGGTATCATCTGATCTCAAGTCTTTAGTTACAGTGTGCATACCTCTTACCTTGTTTTGGGAAATATGAAAGTGAATTAAAGTGGGGAAAAAGGCAATTGTTTCAAACAGGCTTTTTACAGGCAAAAGAAGTCATAAATTCTCTGGACATCTCAGATGGAAGGTGTTGTCTGCAAAGACAACGCAGTTTGAAAGGTCATATTTTTCTAATGATGCCTTTTCCAATACTTACTGTGTTTAATTTTTGTTTGCTTATTTTTTTTTGTGTTTTTATCTGTGGTAAACAGATCTGCATCCTGCTGAAAGAAAGTCTATTGATCTATAGTAAATTATTTTGGAATTATGGTCATACTACCAGGATAAAGTAACTTAGAGTGAAAAATAGTCCACATAGATGTTCTTATATCTCCACAGTTTTAGTTATAAAATTATGCTGGTACATTGATTATTTTACTTATGGAGACAAAGTTTAGAAAATAAAAAACAACAAGAAAATGTATGTCAGAATGAGAAATCAGAAAGCATCTGTTAAATTGGTGCCCATTTGAAGTAGCTCCATCCTTTGCAGAAACTTAGGTGTCCCATGAAGTTTCCAGGGTTGTAGCCTAAAAATTTCCGTAGGGACATCCAGGGTATCCTGTTTCCATTTGCAGGGGATTGCCTCTAGCCAGTATGCCCTACTGAACTGTAAGCACTGTTAACATTTTTATTACTCATGAGTACAGAACAAGTACCAAGAGAGGGTGCAGGTATGAGGAAAATGCCACTGCTCTCATGTACCACAGCTGAGTATAGAGCTTTGCAGAAGCTGGAGCATACTGAAACATTTTCAAGAAGGAGGATCTTGTGGAGCCGCCTCATAGAGCTTAAAGGTGTGCAGTTTTAACATGAAGTGTTCATACCACATGCTTTTTTGAGGGCTCTGATGTGGTGAGTTATGGGAATGATGGTGAGTTTTCTGGGCAGTGGAGAAAGAAGTCACTTCTGGGGTCAGTGTTAGGCTCTGTGTAGCTTTTTAATACGAAGAGTAGCTACTCTATGAAATTGTTCTGACTACTCATTATTCTATAATATGACCTGAGTATCTTAGATGCTTTGAAGAAAAAGATCTGAAAAATCTCAGTGTAGAACAGGCACTCACGAAGCAGTCCAAGCCTGGAAATGTGCAAAGGCAGAGAAGTTAAAGCAGACACAGCAGAAAGTTTGGATTTTATACTTTAGTTGAATTTCACATTAAAGGGGCTCTGTGCTAACCGTTTGAGCTACAGAATCAATCAGTGCTGCTGTACAGTCTGCATTGGATCCAGGCAATGAAACAGTAAAGATCCTTCTTTGGAAAGTTATAGTTGCCCCCCTGAAGGAGTTAACACTTGCTGGCTGTTTTCACTTGGGGTATGGAAAGAGCTGCTGTTGGAAATTCAGGGCCTGGGCTCAAGGATGAAGATATTCAAAAGGGGAAAAATTAACACAGCTGCTGTTATATTTTTGAGTTATAATGCCTCAAATTATTTGTCATTGTGAGGATCTTGGTGAGATATATAGAGAAAATTCACTATCAAATATAAAAATTATGTATATGAAAGCTTCTATCCTAGAAACTGCAGGCTGTAGCAATTAGTGTCAGATGGATCAATTTGTCTTGCCACTCTTATTTTTTCTTTTCCACTATTAATCAATATTAAACCCATTAATCTATCCCTATACAGTAATTTCAGCAAAATCTTTCCTCCTGTTGGAACTTCACGTTCAAATCATTATTAGTTAGAATATGGGTGAATGACTAAGTGTCTGGGATGTCTTGCTTCTGGCAGTGACCATTAACTTGATCATATGAAAACAGAAGGCTTGCAATCTAGTGTTGACCTCTGTACCTAAAGGTATCTTAACACACGTAACTCAAGAGCCATTTTATTTCATTTGGTACTAGTAAGTGGCTTTTCCACTCAACACAGATGGCTGGAGTAGAGCCTATAATTGGAGCTGGATGGTGGGGTGGGAGCAGGTCACAGTACTGGGCTGACACACACTTGAGATTTTCTAAGTGGTGGCAGTCATCATCTGTCAAAAACATGAGGTAGAGGTCAAATGTGTTGCACTGAAAGAACTGAACCACAGTTTGTTTCTTAGCTCTGTGCTGTTTTTCTTCCATTAGACAAGTTTTTTCTCCACATCTTTATTTTCCAAAGTCACTCACCATTTCCCCACCACTTTAGGCTCTGGGTCAACCCAAGAAGCTTGGCCTGTAGAGCCACCTGTGGTTTCCTACAACTACAGGCTTTCAGTCTCAGTTTTTCCTTAGTATTTTCATCCTGCTGAGGTCATAGAAGCACTGGTATGAAACTGCTCAATAGCACCTGATGTTACATTTGCGATTTACATCAGAACACGTCTCCAGGATGCAGGACCACTGCCTCCCTGAGATCGTGCTCTATGGAGAACTTGCCACTGGCTGCTGCAAGAGAGGAGCCCCGAAGAGGAGATACAAGGACTGCCTGAAACAATCCCTCAGCCTTGGCCATATTGATCACCACCATTGGTCTACCCTGGCCTCCAATGGGGAGGCCTAGAGACACACCATCTATAACGCTGCTGCTGCTTTTGAGAACACACCCAGGATCACTCTCGAGGAGAAAAGACAACGCAGAAAGAATCGTGTCTCGTCGATATCACCTGGGGAGTCTTTCTGCTGTACCTTCTGCAACCGGACTTGTCTATCTCACATTGGCCTTTTTAGCCATCAGCGCGCTTGTAGCAAGCATGGGTAGAGCCCTTCTCAAATCTTTGTTTGTGAAGCCTAGCCATGATGACATCAGAACACAAAATACTCTATCAAACTCACTGTTGGAAAGAAATTACACTCCCTGATGTCGCTTGCCTAGATGTCCCTAATTGCATTGATGTGTTCAATCAGTAAAAGTTGATAAATACTGCTTTTGCCTTCATGTGCTGTGAGCACCAGACAAGCCAGCTGCTTGTCCTGTTTGCAAGTCCTGGGAACACAGCTGGGTAGCTGCTCATGAGGCAGAGCCTTGTCTGATGTAGAGACTTCAGATGGCTCCAGGCTTTTATTAGATTATCTTTCTCACTTAAAGGCCAGAGGTCATTTATCATCTTGCTGCATAGCAGAGAAGTTAGTGCTCTGACCTAAGCCTTGCAGAAATGCATGAAGAGGCTGGGCTTTTACAAAACATCCTCCTTAGGAAGAAGGGAAGGGTATCGATTGTAAGGGGGAACATGAGCTTGAAATGATAGAAGGAAGTGCAGACAATGAACAACTTTCTATGGCTTCACTCACAGAATTTGCAGCAGAATTTCACACTTGCAGAATTTCAGGGACAAAGCACAAGGGCTGAAGGAGGGCAATGAGCCTAGAATAGTGTGGGATGTCGTCACAGATGTGAGCAGGCAGTGACTATCTCAAAGCATCCTCTTGAGCATTAAGATAGTTAAAACAAGACTTGGTGTATTCACCAGGAAGAAGTATTGCTAAGAATAGTTGTCTTATGCAGGTATTGTTCTTTAACCTTGTATCTGCATAAACTTAAGGAGGATGAGTGAGAAAGCAGCTGGATGACTCCTTATGATCAAATTTGCAGCGGTGATGATTCCTCCTGACAAATCAGCTCAAATAGCAAGTTTTCTTCAAGGATAGTCAGTCAGTCCTTCTGCTGAAAGGACTTCCACTGAAACTGAAGCCGATGCCTCTGTTTGAGGGAACATATGGTAACCAAAAAGACATGAATTGTAAGGAAAAAGTTAAGAGAAGGTAGCTACTCTGCTGGATGGTCTGTGTGTTCAGACACCTCTGAAAGGGGTGGTGGACAGAGAGGGAAGGATTGTCTGGCACCCAGCTAGAAGAGTCTACCTGTTGAGAGCTTTAAAACCTGATTTATGTTTTGCTAAGACACACACAAAATCCTACAGCACTTGCTAGTAACACCCATGTGTCTGGAAAGCCTGCTAATCAGTGCATTCGGAAACACTTTTGGAGGGTGTAGGGAATTCTTCTTGGGCTAAAGTATGCTATAGTGAACCTTCTGTAGTGAACTGTAACTTTAAAGACTAGTCAGCAAAGTGGACTTTGCGTGCTGTTGTGTGAAAAGCTTGCTCCAGTGAGTTTCTGCATTTGTTGGAACCACAGAGCTTGGCCCAGGCATTTTACAAGGATAACACCTTCTCCTTTTTTCCTAGTTCTTGCTCTTCATAGAAGGAACCCTTGCAGAAATTACCTTTACACTCCTTCGTTGAATACAGGTTTTTCAGAGAAGAAGGAAGGATAAATGCACTAAATAGAGAAAGGTTGATTAGTGCTGTGGGACATTATTAAAAATTATATTAAGTACTGGTGAGGAAATTCCTCAGTTACTCCGCTCTACCATGTTCATTCAGGCATTGAATTCTGAAAGGTGGTGACATTGTTCTCAATCTGTTCTTAGTTATGGTCTCTAGCTGGATACTTTAGTGGCAGTGGATGCTACTTTCTGCATAAAGGTTTTGTAGATAGTGCCTGGAAGTTGTTCAAAACCTACAGTAAAAGTACAAATCACAAGCTTACATGCCACCTTCGCTATGCACATATGGTGCACTGTACATTAGCATGTGTGTAGTACTGGTTGGCAGTGCAGGAGTTTCAGTAAGGAAAGATGTCTCATTGTTAGAAATATGTGTTCATTTACAGACATCTTTACATCTTCACAGGCTTTTTCAGTGTGTAAACTGAATCCTCACAAGGCAAACTGTTATCTTCATTTTAGCAGATGAAGAAAAATACAAAGGGATTCCAATGCCTGCAGATAAACAGAAAGCCTGTAGAGTTGTCAGGATTAGCTCTTGGTTAGTCAGCTGGTGTGAGGTGTCATCTGGAGACCATTGCTCTGCATCCCACACCAGCAGCTGGCTCATCACGCCCACTAGAAGGCACCGAGCTCTTTGGTTTGTCTTTGCTTTCATGGATAGCTAGTGCTTCGCTTTCATTTGTGTTTTGTTTGTTTGTTTGTTTGTTTGTTTTTCCAGATGATGAAGACAACAAAGCAGGTCAGAGTTTGGGCCTTTTAGGTTTAAAATTTTGGTAGAAAGGATGGTGGTAAAAAGACAGCAATATTTTACCTGGTAGTTTGAAAGGACTTGCGTTCTTGTGCTTTCCTCTTTCCAATAGTTACCAGATAAACTTGTCCCTCAGAGTTTAGCCATCAGTGCATACCCCAAGTAAAGGTGCATTAGAGCATCTGTCTGCCTGGACAACTGTAGACTTTCTCCATTTGTCAGTCAGCGGCCACTTATGGAAGTGGGAATGGCCAGAGGAGGGCCCAAGCCAAAGCTGCTGTCTCCAGGTTTCTCTGCCAGCAAGAGCTGTGCCCAGCTGGCTGACAACTGCGATGGGTCAGAAGGACCGTGTGTTTACAGACGTGGATCACTACAGCCTGTTAAGAGACACACCAAGGGTCATATGTTCTCAAACTCTGCACAGCAGATGGCTTGTTAATCTGAAGAAAGCAAAATGGCTGTGCATGGTCTGTGTATGACTGGATGGTGTGCATGCTGCAGTTCCAGCACCCCTGGCAGCCCCTGAAAGGACCAGATCGTGTCTGTCGCAACCAAATCAAGGCTTGGTTTGAAGCTACTCCATTCTTCCCCAGACTCTGAGCTTTTCAAAGGCTAAGTTACCCTCTGAGCTCAGCCTGGGTATATGTCTTACTCATACACACACACTCACACACATATTGTTTTTGGCAAATTCCAGCCTAATCAGTTTAATTTCTTGGACTTTTTTTTTTTTTTTTTGCTCTGTCAGCACACAAGTCTGATTATCACGTTGGCTTAGATAGACCATCTTTTGTTGAAATATGTTTGTTCATTATGTGGCACAGTGGCATCCTGATATAAGACAGGTTGCTGAGCACAGAAAGTCATTTATAGTCACAAATACTTCTGGTGTACCCTCTGATACAATCTTCCTTTCAGCTAAGCATTGCTAGAGCAGTCACAAAAAAATTATTCCCATTTACAGTAATATCCTCCCATGCTACTTTGTATCTTATTCCAACCTTAAACTCAGAGACAGGGACTTAGAGGCCTGCCAGTATGATGTCCTGATCCCTGCAGCATATAATAAGAGAGCATGAGGCCAGCAACACTCAGAAGAGCTTTCTCATTATGCAGTCTGTTCACATGTGTGAAGGGTAGCAGGTGATATTCAACCGAGAGTGAAAAGTCTCAAATCTAATAAATTACTGTTTATCCAAAACCCCAGCTCAGTGATATTCTCCAGATCTTAAGTCAGCAAATTGCCTGCCTCAGCTCATGCCTGAAGCAACAGAGCCCTAAAGCAGATAGGACCTGTGATGCTTCTTGTATCTCTGATTATTACTTTTTAGCCTTTCCACAGTAATGTAGTCTGTGATTCTAACTGAACTTTTGGTCCTTTGGATGTCTTGTCAGCATTTTCTTAAGACTTTTTAGGGTTACCCCTCTCAGTGCTACCATTTGTTCCTGTGCTGTACACATTCGTCTCTCTAAGTTATGCTGCGCTGCTCCTTCAACTCCACTTCTTCCTTCCCATCAGTTTCCCTTCCTCGCAATATCCCTTACCTCAGTTACCTGGTTATACCTTAGCAAATGTGCTTTAATGAAGCTATATTTCAGTACCAGATGAGATATAATTACATTTCATGACAGATGCAAGCAAGACTGGGATGAGAAAATTACTTTTGGGAACCCTCAGAGTGTGTTCAGCTGCAGAAAGGTCATGTCACTGTTGGGTAGCTCAGCATCACCCTAAAGTACTCAGGTTCATTGATGAGGAGATTGGGGGTTTTTTGCAGCACTTAAACAGTTCTCTTCTTATTGAAGAAGGTACCACTACTTTAACCCACAAAGAGATCGTGCAAACTCTGAAGTGAACAGTTTGCCTCATCCTCTGGCTCTGACCCACTGAAAGCCAATTGGCACAGTCCTCACAGAAACTTATTTTTGCCACTGGATTGTAAGGAGCAGAAAAAGGGGGCCAAAGAGATGAATGGTTTCTCTTGTGGGCCATGGGGCTGCAAAATGAGGTGCCAGTGCTGTCTTGGAACATAAGATTGCACTGCACATGTGGGAGCACCTCCATCCTTTTAGCCCTGGAGAGGTCTCTGTCCCTGTTGGTTCCTCAGAGACAGCACCAGACTCCAGCTCTATGCTTGGAAGTGCAAATGTCACCTTAAATGCAAAATGATGACTAGAGGCAAGTGAGAAATAGTTCTCCCTTTCCAGAGGAGTACTTGGGACTTCAAAATGTTCTTATTCTATGCTAGTCCTTCTCAGACCATCTGAGAAGACAGTAAGAAACGCCAGAGATAAAAGTTCACCACACAGGATAAGTCTGTGTTCTGCTCTGTCAAGTACTGGAATATGATCCTGACCTCCATCCCACAGGACAGTGCCTGGATTCATGCTTGCAAAGGCAGTGTGCTCTCAGTCTGATCAGAGCTCCTTCCCTCGGAATAAATGGTGAAGTAATAATTGGAACAAGGACCTGACCCAGGATTTTACACAGGTTAGGTGAGAGCCTGACCCTCAGAGAACAAGCATGGTTTTGCTTCAAGCCAGTGAATTCGTCGTCTATTGAAACAGGATCAGTTTCAAAGAGGGAGGTTGAGAAAAGCTGCGAACGCTGAAGGACAGGACGGGGATCCCCGGTCGAGAGGCTTTCTGTCCCTAGCTCCGGGGGGGAGAGTGCTCCCTCCCCGCCCCCGCCTTTACCCCGCGACTGCTCATTGCCCCCCAGAGAGAGAGCGACGGCGCCGACAGCCAGGTAGCAGGGAAACAGGCAGAGAGAACTTTATTGTTGTGGTCAAAGCTTAAATACCTTTTGGGTGGATTACAAAGTGACCATTGGGAGTTCAGGAGGTGTTACAAACCAACCAATTACAAGAAAGGGTTAACAGCCAATAGGTGAGTTTCCAGTTATCTCTTAGGCATTCCAAGGTATAGTGAGGGGTTTTGGAAACAAGAAGAGTTACACAAAGTCACAATCACCATCTTGGACACGTGGTCAATTTAACAATATTACAAACTCCTGCATTCTTTTATATGTAGCAGAGTTACCCCAACAAAAAGTGGATCAGGAAAATTTCTATCCCATTACAGTGAGTATTTTTATGCATGGTTAGGACACGCATAATGCCAAACTGGAGAAGACTTCATCTCTTCTTAGTAGTTCACACAGAAATAGAATTACTATAGGGCTTTCCCTTTCTCAGAAGATAACAATTTGCTGCCTCCTAGTTTTGTGATGTGTGTTCAGTATGAATTGTACGTTCCACATAGACATCTTTAGAGATTCATGTAAATATGTCACTGTAGATTTCTTCCTTGCTTTTGATAGTTACAGCAATGAAAGCCCATGCCAGGTCTCATTCGCCCTCCCCAGCTCTGTTTTTCTTTTCTATCAGCTATTTCCTGCAATACTGATTTTAAGTGCCAAAAGGAAATCTGCCGATGGGATTTCTTAATGCCCACAGTGTAGTGTAAACTGTAGTCTTCTAACAGCCAAACTGATTTCAGAAATATCCCCATAAGTAAAAGTTACAGTGAGTAACAAAATATACCGTGCAGTCCCCTATAAATATGACAGCAAGACCATTTTCATGAGGAGCAAAGCAAAACACTGAATGATGGCTGGGGTTCTTACTGGTCTGTCATGCAATGCATTATTTACCAGCAAATGTTAGCTTTCCTGCATCTCATAATGCTAGTAATTCACATAACAGGTGGGGATTCTGTCTTTACTTCTTTTGCGACTGCAAGTGAAAACACATTCAGTGACTGGA